GAACACATGCACATCCTGTGACCCGGAAATCTGAGCTCCAAGCGTGTGTCCACAGAAATGTGCTCCAAAGGACAACGAGCAACCTTTATCGTAACCTTCAAAACTGAGAACGACACAGCGGCCTCCCAAGGGAAGAGGGTGAGAAAGGCTGGAGAGCCGCACAGAAGAATGCTGCAGGGAAAGAAGGATGAGCTGCCAGGGCAACACCCAGTGTGAGGGGTCTTACAGACCCAGCTCAGGGGAAGATGGCAAACAAGCGAGTATACTCCATGTGATTCCATACATGAAGCTCAAACCAGGCAAATTAGTGGACAATATCAGAATTTGGGATAGTGGTTATTTTGGGGGAGAAAGTTGGGTAGGACTCTGGGAGCTGGGAAACATAAGGGTTTCTGAGGGAGGTTGTCCTAGACCGTGGTCGGCAAACTGCGGCTCGCAAGCCACATGCGGCTCTTAGGCCCCTTGAGTGTGGCTCTTCCACAAAATACCACGGCCTGGCAGGTCTATTTTGAAAAAGTGGCGTTAGAAGAAGTTTAAGTTTTAAAAAGTTGGCTCTCAAAAGAAATTTCAATCGTTGTCCTGTTGATATTTGGCTCTGTTGACTAATGAGTTTGCCGACCACTGTCCTAGACTGTTCAGGCTTCTGTCTAAAACTACCATAGACGGAGCGGCTTAAACAACAATTCCTCACAATTCTGAAGACTGGGAATTTCAAAATCAAGGCACCAACAGTTCAGTGTCTAGTGAAACACTTCCTAGCACACAGAGGACTTACTGGGAACCCCCGGGGTCCCTCTTATAGGGGTGCTAATCACATTCATGAGGACTCTACCTGCATGATCTAATTAGCTCCTCAAGACCCCACCTCCCAACACCATATTGGGGGGTGGGATTTCAACATATGAATTTGGGGAGACATAGACTCTCAGTTCCTAATATTGATCATATTTTCTTTCTTGATCTGACTGGCGGATAGAGAGGTATGTGCACTTGGCGATAATTCACTAAGCTACATACTAAAATGATCTTTATTCTGTTCTATATGTAGGTTACACTTTAATAAAAAGATCATCAAATTTTTAAATGATACCATCATATGAAATTATCACCCCACTAAGTGGAAAATATATGTGTTTATCTCAATTCATGTAATAAAACCACCGCTAAGGCAGTAGGTACTGGGATGCTCTCCATTTTCTGAGGAAACAAGGCCCACAGAAGTTAAATAACACGTCCACAGCCCTAATGGGAATGACACCTCACTGCTCTGCAGAGCCAGGCCCCGGAGGGCAACGGATCTGCTTCACTGTGGCCCAAAGAGCTGCGGTTACTATTAAGATTCCTGTCAACTGTCTCTGCGTTTTATTCATTTATGCAAAATCTTTTACATACTCCAGATGTTGTTGCAACCCATTTTCTACACCTCCTGAATTCTAAGTTTAAAAGTAGAAATAAAAGCCAAAGCATCCTTTAGGAAAACAAAAACCTAAGGATAGCATTCCTTATAGTTTTTCCTTAAATGTGCTCAAATTCTTTACAGATTACTGCAAAACTCTACTTACCCTTCCCATCTTATATTCTTTTCACTCTATGACTTCTGTAAGTTAAAAACGATGAAGGAAAGATAAGATCTGTTTTAACACCAGCAGAACAAACTCTATTACCTTCCTCTCATCTCCAGCCCTGCTGGAAAATACGAGAATTATAAAATATGCATAACACCCTAATGTGAATCTAATTCAGTAAGTGAGCTGTCATGAAAGACCCTTGGATACAGTCCAGTAGAGGAAACTCTATCCCACATGGATCACAGACAAGTAACACCCTGCTCATCAAGGCACCTGCCCTAGGTTCCCTCAAGAATCAGCATCTGGGCTAATAGTCAAGCAAGACAAATGTAAGTTCCAGCTCGTGGCTGACCTCAGGAGTAGAATATATGTCAATCCATCATGTTTTTCTTAAATGATGATGTTTATTATTTGACCAATAGAACTCACTCATATATATACAGCAAACAAGTAGTTGTTAGTATCAACTGACTTAAGTTGAACAACAACAGATCTTTTGTAATTTTGACTTTCAGTGCACTCAACTAGTAGGAAAATCAATGCCTTTGAAATAATTAGGTTTGGGCTCATGGGAACCTCCTTCTGGGCAGCACGGGGCTCGCCAGGAAAGAGCGGCTGCCAGGCTGGGCCAGCTTCCCTGCAGAAGCCAATCAATGCGGCGGCAGTGCTTCCCAGCCCCGTCCTCTGCAGCCGGTGAAACAATGCCAGGGTTGAAAATACCATTGCATTCCCCTGCTTTTTAACTGGCTTTGAAATTTCAATTTTTGGAAAATGTACTGTGCGATGAGGTCTGCATTCATTTTCCTGATATAGCATGAGAAAAATAACTCCCACACCTTTCTCCACCTAACATGACAGCCAATCTCAAACAAGCTCAAACACTGCAAGCATTGGAAAATACTCCATAAGGTAAAGTCAACATTTTTGGAGAGATAGTTTTTTAAAAATGGCTCTGCAAGTGATTTTTCATTCCCCTCCTAATATTTTTACAGAATTAAAATTCAGTATACATATACATATATATATAAATCCTCACCCGATGATGCTTTCCATTGGTTTTTAGAGATTGGATGAGAGAGGAAAAGACACAGAGAAATATTGATGTGAGAGAAACACATGGATTGGCTGTGTCCTGCATGTGCCCTGACCAGGGCCCAGACAGGGAAGAAGCCTATAACAAGGTATGTGCCCTTGACTGGAAATGGAAGCCAGGACTCTAGTCCACAGGCCAATGCTCTATCCACTGAGCCAAACCAGCTAGGGCGAAATACATCAATTTTTAAATGCAATGATTGTCCTGGCATATGTAATCCCTTGATGGTTCTCGGTTATTCTTTACTGAGTTTCAGCAGAATAAAAGTTCAGAATGTTGTTACAGTTGCCTGCCCTCTAGGCCCTTTGTGGTTCAGCAGCCTTAAGCGCTGTGTATTATGTCCATACTATTCACAGATTTCAATTGGTCTAAAAATGACTGGGAAGAAAATGATTCTTCCCTTATGAAAGAATAGCAAGAAGGGCTACATGAATTAATAAATAAGTAGGCAGCCACTGATGATGTCCTGACTTAATGAAAACAAGGTGCTTATATAAACAAAAAAGTCAACCACAACCCTTCCTTCCTGGCTGGGTGACCTGACCTCAGGGACATGCCATTCCTCAACGGCCTGGCGAAATGAGCAGCAGCAGCTGATAAAACCTTTCCACTGACTTGTAAGTCAGAAGGAAAAGTCTTAGCAAAAGGAGGTTACCAACTACCCAAGTCATAATGAACACAGACAAGTATACTGTACTAATAAGACAAAATTTTATACATTGAAACCAAAAAGGCTATTGCCATTATATATTTTTTAAATATATTTTTATTGATTTCAGAGAGGAAGGAAGAGGGAGAGATAAAAGCATTAGTGATGACAGAGAATCATAGACTGGCTGTCTCTTGCTTGATCGGATCAAGCCCACAACTCAGGCATGTGTCCTGATCAGGAATCAAACCATGACCCACTGGTTCATAGGCTGATGCTCAACCACTGACATACACCAGCCTGGTGTCATTATATTTATTAATGAAAGGTTTCCACATTAAGTTCAGACTACATTTCTTTAAAAAAAAAATCTGGTATTGGTTTCATTTATGATTTTCTTGGTGATAGGTTCAGATTTCCAAATTTTTCTCAGATGTCTCAAGAACCAGCAGGATATATTAGATAAGCTAACAGCATCAAAATAATGACTCTCAAAATATAAAATCAAATGGTTGTGGCATATACACTACCCCACAGAACTGTTAAAAGCATGAAATGATACACTAATAAATTTTAGTCTTGTCCACATAATAAATATCCACCTAAACCTTGTCATCATAGACAGCTGATATACCATTGGAAGAAGATATACTGGTATTTAGACTGATTAAACGTTAACTGAGCATCTACTGTGTACCTGGGTTTGATAGCTACATTCTAGTTAAGACAAGCTGCACAGAAAGCAATATCATTTGCTATTAAGAGCATATATTATAAACTGTAACACATGCAACTGCCAGAGATGAAAAATAAAAAACATGCAGAAGGCAATGAGGTCATTATTTTCAAGTAATGTCCTATATAAAAAAAGCCGAATATGCTAAGTATCTGGTCATCCGGTTATCCATTCAAACAATAAAAGTGTAATATGCTAATGATATGCTAAGGCCACTCAACTGCTCGCTAGGACATGCACTGACCACCAGGTGGCAGACACTCCCACCAGTAGGTTAGCTTGCTGCTGGGGTCTGGCCTATAGGGACTGAGTGAGATGGCCCGACACACCCTGGAGTCCTACTGTGATCCCTCCCCAGCTGGCCAACCTCCTACATCCCTCCCTGGCCCTGCTCATGCACAGGTGGGGTCCCTCGGCCTGATCTGCGCCTTCTCACAATCTGGGATCCCTTCAGGGGATGTCAGAGAGCTGGTTTCAGCCTGATCCCGAAGGCCAAGCTGAGGGACCCCACTGGTGCAAGAATCCGTGCATTGGGCTTCTAATATAATATAATCCTATCCTTTCATTCTGTCTCCAAGCATATGATTCTACAGTCAGCATCTTATGAAAGAAATCCAACACCCAGTCTTCTTTAAGTCATAGAAGTACAGAGCTAATTGCTTCTTTGTAAATTACCCAAATGATGTGTCACGCCAGCCCACATTTCACTGTTCAGGTCACTACACCCATTTTATTTCCTGCCACCTCCCAGAGCTCTTAAAGCACAGCCTCTGAAATAACATCCTGGGAAACTTATAAGACTTTCACCCCAAGAGAGTTAAACACCGTGTATGTCAATGGCGTGTAAGACAGGGTTTGCGTCTGGGCTGCATGCTAACCCCTTGCAGCAGGAACAAGGCTGCTCTTGATGGTGAGAAACCAGAACGTTATGCAACCTCCACCCAAGAGCGTTACCTTAGGATCAGCTGTGAGCAATTTGAAGGCTTGATAGACTTGAGATTCCTGTACGCCTCCTCCAAGATCCAAGAAGTTGGCTGGCTTCCCTCCATTCAGGAAAATGATATCACAAGTAGCCATGGCGAGGCCAGCACCATTCACTGTGCAATGCAAGCAGCACACAAGACAAGATCAGTTTAGTAAAACGAAACGGCACAGAAACGTTTCCCCTCCACACAGTTACAAGAGAGAACACTATCATGACGGGCCAACTTCTGTCTTTGAAATTCTACCCAACTGCATAAGTTCATAGGTTTTTAGGATAAGCAATCAGAAGATGTGCACACAAAGAACAACCAAAAAAGGCCTGGGGGTGGGGAGATGGATCTATCAGGAAGTTATGTCAATCTGGAAAAGGAAAGGAGGGAAGAGGTGAAGTCAGTTATCAATTTAGTCTAGTAGTTAGTAATAGAGGCAGGAGTTTTAGGTTCTGGAAAGTGTATTTCAAGAAATTGGAAAAGAGAAAAAAGCTGTGAAAAGTAAGTAGGGCCTATGAATTACTTTTTGTTTTGTTTTTTTATTTTGTTAATCCTCACTCAAGGATATTTTTTCCATTGATTTTTAGAGAGAGAGGAAGGTAAGGAGGGGAGAGAAGAAAGAGAGGAAGAGAAAGAGCAATGTAAGAAAGACACATGGATTGGTTTCCTCCCATAAGCCCCCTACGGGGGCCAGAGATTGAACCTGCAACCCAGGTACGTGCCCGTGGCCTGGAATGGAAACTGAGACCCTTCTATCCTTGGGCCAACACTCTAACCTCTGAGCTACACAGCCAGGATCATATTCTTTTTAAAATCCTTTAAGAGTAAAGAATGGCATTCTTCTAGTTTTGTTAGCTGAGAATACGGTCCCTGGAATGTGGCACCCTCTAGGGTTGAACCAGAGCCTTCAGCTGCAAGAGAGCTCCCCACATTTTCCTACTGAGTGCAACCAAGTATGAGTATACGTTACCTGAGAAAGCCAGAAGACAAATGAGCCCCTGTTCCTTTTTCAAAATAATATAACAAATGTTCTCCAGCAACCTGACCATTCAAACTGGAGCCAAGATGTGCTAGCATCTTCGCAGCTTTTCTTTAAAAACCAAGTAATGAGTTTTAACACAGAAATTCTTATTTTCCAGAATTAAGTTTTATTGATCAATGTACTTCTGTTGTTCCTTATGCTTAATTGTACGAAGTTATTTTCCTCAGGTTAGAAAGTAAAAAAATAAAAATAATAAAATAATAAAAATCTCCTGAACTCAGCAGAAACTCCCAAGATAAAGTACCCTTCACTTTTTCCTGACCCTTGAATTCCCCAGACAACTGAACTGTGACTAATTTAATTAATTATGGGTCAACTAAAATAAAAATGGTTTATCTAGGATCTGAAAGTAATTTGAAATGTGCTAGGCTAACTTTGTCAAACCATGCACACGCCTACAGAGGCTGCAAAAGATCTGAATTTGTTCTACCCCCGCATTTCCTCTCTCTCCCTCCTCAATGCCTACAGTACTGAGCTCATTAGCTGACCAAGAGCAGGAGGGAGGGGAGATGGTACCTGAGAGTTATTGCTCCAATCAAAGCAAGACTCTGGGTGCCGCTTGTAACTGGATGTCATTTTCATTGTATTGAACAGCAAACTGCTGGATGAGGCCTATCTAGTTCTGAATATAATGATGTTGTTGGTTTAATGAGCTATAAATCTTCTTTATTTAAATTTCATTAAGATTAAGAACTCAGTTTCCAGTGTAATAAATCGGTCCCACCATAACACAGAAGTCTATAAATCTCAGTACTATAAGCTGTGGACAATGACAAAAGTTATGCTGCCTCTATAGACCCATTCTTATTTCAACTGAATAAGCCATTTTCACAAATTTAGATAATTATGATAAAATCAATTGTTTTATTACCAAAGTGGTGTAATGAATTAAACAATTTATCATTTATTTATCACAGAAGTTGAAACTTGAGCATAATGAGTCAAGTATATATTCTCTTCTACTTCCTCTGTGCAAGTAGTTTAACTTGAACCCAAATTTCATAATAGTTCCTACAAATTAGCCAGAGCAGCAAAGGCTTAGTAAAAAGCGAAGTTTAACTTTGAAATAGGACTTTTCCCGGGGACGGTATCCCGCCCTTCCGAAGACATTCTGCCGTGTTTGGAGATACTTTGGTGGTGACAAGTGGAGGTGCTAGTGGCCAGGAACTGCTGAACCCCTTGCAATGTGCAGGCCAGCCCACAGCCAGCGAGGAATTCCCGCCTGAAATGTCGCAGGTGCCAGAGACGCAGCCCTACTTTACACCAGGGACCATCGACCAAAATCTACTTTGGGAAGAAAACGAATCGTCTCCTAAGATTCTTGGGTAGAAAAGTCTCTTATGGTTACTTGCTGTTAGGAAATAAAATGTCAGAAATCAGGAGTTCCTAAATTCTGCAAAAACCCACAAGCCACCCTTCTGCCAGAACCGAGTGCTCACCAAAGCAGGCGATGTTCCCGTCCAGTCCTATGTATTTGAGGTCGTATTTGGCAGCTTCGTTTTCAATGGGCTCGTTTTCTGATCCGTCATCCATGGCGAATATGTCCTTCTGTCGGAATTCTGCGTTGTCATCAAAGTTTATCTTGGCATCAAAACAGACAACTAGAGAAAGGAACACACGATGTCTCTTTAGGATCTACATATTACATTCTCAAGGTTGGTTAGCACAGGGAAAAACAAACAAACAAACAAACAAAAAACCACTGTTGCCCTATCTCATGATACAGACGGGACCAACTACTGCGACTTCCTGCCCCGAATTTAAACTTCAGAGCTACCAAGACAAATGGTTCCTGTTCCAAGAACTGACTTCTAACAAAGAGCACAGGCATCTGTGTCTGCTGGTCTCTGTCCAATCAAATAGCAATGTAAGTTGCTATCACCCCTAAAAGCTAAGCCTGCCAGCTACGTGTAGCTTTGATGGGCTGTTCATGCTATAGCTAAATTTTTAGTAATTAATCACTAATTTCCACCTTTTCCTCCTATGCAAAGACACCAGACAATAACCCCTAATCCTGCTGTGGTCCTTTGTCCTTCTTCTAAGGATGCAAAGCGAGATTTTTATTTAACCTGTATCCTCACCAATATTTCTGAGAGGTGTAATGAAAAGAACACTGGGTCAGAATCAATAGTTTGTTTTTGTTTTTTTATGATCCTTAACTAACTGTAGCCTTGATTTAAAAATAATAATAATAACTACTTCCTCTCTGGGCCTCATTTTCTTATTTAGAAAATGGAAATATTCCTTAGACAGCTGAAACACTCACTTGGGGCCGGCTAACGTGCATTCCATCAACCACCACCCTGATGTGTGCAGGACATGACTCTCTGGATTCCAGTTGTAAAGCATTGAGAGACCCAGCTGGTCAGACGTAAGGAAGGCCGACAGGCGCCATCGGCAGCGCCGTCTCTGCCCCCGGTGCCAGTTAGGCTCTTAGCGCTCTCAGTGGACACAGTGACTCTCCCTCAGGGCGAGGATGGACTGTGAGCGCATTCCTTGATTGACAGGAGATCCTCTGTACGTACAGTCAGCGGGGAGCACGGTGGGGTGGGATGGGGTGGTGCACTGGCTTCCGGGGCCTGATGTCTTTACTTACAGCCTTTAGGGTAGAAATTAGCTGTCTGTGATGCCATTCCATCATCACCCTCCTCTAGTGTACTTGGAATATGGATAGGCAGGGGACTCCGAGCAGGTGCTATTCTTCTCCAGCATGGCAGACCTAACTCTTAAAGGGGAAACAACCACCCTGGCATATTTCAATCAAAAGCAATGACTCTAATCTGTGAATCCCACTTGCTTTCTCTGGTAAGAAAACACTTTTTTCCCAGATGTTACACTGTGACATCTGGGGTTAAGGAGCCCAGGAGGCGGTTTCCCCAGCGGCTCTACCACAGCCATCAGACAAGCCTGTGCAGATCTGGCATCTGAACATCAAAGAACACTCGGCATAAGTAAAAGTCAAAACCACACGTTACTTAGAATAGCCCCGACTGGGAAGAGAGTCCTGCGTGGAAGTTAATGTCTGCTGGAGCCTGTGGTCTTGCCACAAAACGTCCCACCACATTCCCACAGGCTGTGCGCACATGGGGCCAAGGAGCAATCACTGTCCCACACACTGGAATATTGGCGGTGGAACTCTGCAACTAATTACAAAGGAACTGGCCGCTTGCTACAATGGCATTTTCTCAGCAGCTAATGACGGGTGCAATAATCAATAGGAAAGCAACTTCATTCCTGGCTTTCCACCGGGTTTATAAATACATTTTAATTAATTTATTAGTAACTGTAGCTCCTCCATTACTCATTGGCAAGACTACTTGTAATTGACACCTTTGAAATGAATGGGCAAAGGCGACCAAATTGACTTCCTAAGTGGAGAGTTTCACATAAAAGAATTCTTGGTCAAGATCAATAAACTAGTAAATCATCTTAAGTCCTGTCTGCTCTTGGCCCCGCACAAGACGGCACTCACAGGCACCGCGAGGAACGTGATTGAGGGATATGGATGGGCGTGCGGAAGGCGGCCCGCCGAGTGTCTGAGCTCAGGCTTGGGATGCTTGCCCTGTGCTCTGATGCAGCACCAAGTTCGGAAATGTGCTCACTCTTTGGGGCCACCCTGGGGGACCTTTAGAGCTTCGCCAGGAATTGAAGGTGGTGACTGGGATAAAAAGGATCTCTAGAGGGAGAAACAAAGATGTATGTGCTCCAGCATCAAAGGCACCGTCTGTGTGAATCTTGCTCTGGCCCAGCCTAGCCGGGCCGCCGATGGCCTTAAGCCCAGAGGCCTGGCTTACAAACGGGGAGCAGAGGCTCCAGCTGCACTGGGAGGAGAGGGGCAGGCGAGGCACTCGGCCACACACACAGAGGGCCCTCGGCCCCCGTCCTCTCCCTGCGCAGAGCTTTCCCACCCCTGGAGGGTCCCACGGCCCAGCCCTGAGGGTTCTCCTCGCTTCCTCTCACTCCACATGACCGTACTTTGTCCACTCCCTTACAGTGCCAGCCTTTGTCTAGAATAAGTACAAGCTGATGCTCAGGAGTTCACAGTGGTTTTCAGTACGATGCCATCCTCACGGTTCAAGGCTGTGTCTGAGGGAGCCCTGCGCCTTCTCACTCCGGCCTCCCAGAAAGACGCGGGCTTTGTGGGTGGCACTCTGTTTTAGATGACCTTTCTTCACTACGAAGCCTTTTCCCACAGGAAGGGTTTTAATGCCGGGCATCGCATGAAGGCTTTGTACCTGACAGAGAAGTTCTTTTTCTCTTAAAGGACGAGGATGAAAGAGTTGCCTCTCTCGAGCCTCAGATCACACACCACCTGTGCAGATGGCCAAGGAGGCTACAGATCGGTACATTGAAGTCAGGGGGCCAGTGTGGCCCTCAGGGCAGCTTACGCCAGTTTCTGTAAACGGGGTTTTACTGGACCCACAGCCACATCAGTTCACCCAAGTCTCCCTGCTGCCGCTGTCCTGAGAGCCCCGCGGCGGAGATGGCAGCCAGCCCTTCGCGGGGGCAGGTGGGCTGTCCCTGCCAACCACGGCAGTCTCCGCACGTCGGTCCCCTGCTCTGACACTGACACGTGGCCCCAGCTAGCACGTCCATTGTGGTGAAGGGGAAACTTAGAAAAGTGCGTCCTGCTAGCTTGAAAATAAAGAAACAAACAAAATAGCCCTTGCAGCTGGCACACACGTAGATTAATCCCTGATTATTGATTGACTCCTGGATGCTTATTCCCCCTGTAAGACCTTTCCAGGTACACGTTAGGCCTGAAGTGTTCAAAACAGATTGATGTCCATGTCAACCGCAGGGCAATAAAATAAACTTGCTTGCTCAAACCTTAGCTTTTTCATTTAATATAACAACAAGCTATGGTAAAACATATTTTGGGAGGAGCTCAGCTTGGCTAAGACATTCAGACTTTCAATGTCACAATAATAAAACCACAATTCCTTAGAAAATTCAACTTGAACAAAGGCCATCCTGTGTACAAAGTGGGTAAAAAACACACCTATTAATATTTATGAAACAATTTTCGCCATCAAGAGCACACTGTTACATGCTTGATAGATTGTATAAATGAGTTTCCTTCTGAACAGCTGTGAAAGAGACCGCTCTTGGTCACAGGGTTTTGTTCAGCCATGGGTGTTAGGATTCTGCGAGCTGCTAATTCCACCACCTCCGTGAACAAAGACTGGCCATTAGCCCACTCTGACCCTGGAGGTGCAGCAGAAGAATGTGCCATGGAATCAAACAAGAGAAAAGGACCTTTTGGAGGGGAAACTCACACATAAAGGAAACACAACAGCAGGAAGTAAGACTGTCATCATTAGTTTGGAAAGTAACCTGTCTTCGAGCGAGGCACTGCGCTGGATCTGTGATGAAGAACCGTGACCTGCTATGGAAACGGGCCCTTACAGGCTGCCACTTTCCAATGGCCCCTCTTTCCAGGAAATACTGATGTTCCAAGAGTTGTATATTTTTTAGAACTTTTTATTTTATTTGCTGTGGAAAGAGAAAATAGACATGAGGAGGGAGGGGAGGGGGTGAGGATAGATAGAACTAAAAATGTTCCTGAAAATAGAAGTCTGGTGTATAAAGACAGAAACAGAAATATCCACCGACAACATGGGCACTTGCTAACACAAAGCACCAGGGTTGTTATTTAGGGAAATTAACTTGAAGCAAGAAAGAAAGTTGATGTTCCCGTTAACTTTAAGCCAGCCTTATTCTCATGTCCTCTTGGCCAGACAGTCACTGTCTACACTGGATTTCATTCTTCTAATTTGGTGAATGGATGTGCTCCAGCCGACGAAAACGCCCTAGGGCCGGTATTCTTCCCGTGGGGACAGTGACATGTTGGGCGGATCCTTTCTGTTGGGAGGTGTGCTGAGCGTTACAGGATGTGCAGCGACATCTCTGGCCTCCACTCACTGCACCCCAGTTAGTGACAAACAAAAATGAATGTCAACGAGACTCACTGCAGTGATCAAATAAAATCACATGCTGTACACCTGAAACTAATATACTAGTGCTGTTATGTCAATTACATCTCAATTGAAAAAGTATTTAGACATTGCCAAAGATCCCCTAGGGGACAAATGGCCACCTTCCCCATTGAGAAACAGTACAGACACCAAAGAAAGGCGTCTGTGTGCAAGCAGATCTGGCTGAAAGTGGGAACAAATGAAATCAGAGGCAAAATCTCAGTGGCTTGCAAACTAAATAAATGAAAGTATGGATAAGTAGATAAATAATAATAACGCAAATTCATTCACAGTTGAATGAATTAATCCTGGCACTGCAATCAGATAAGCAAGGAAAACAGTTAAGTTCCTTCTCTCTAGCAAATAGTTTACTTTCATTTCAATATGTTAAGTCATTCTGGTCCCTTTTTCCATCAAGAAACTGCCTTTCTCCTACAACATGTGCAAGGTTATGTGTTCTGCTATTACTGATCTAAATGAAAAAATTAAATATTAAGATTATCAATATTGCTCAGATATAAATGATTGCTTTTACAGCCCCTAAATAAAGGACTGCTCTAGGGGCCTGGGACAGTGATGAAGATCAATTTGTACATTTGGTCATTAATCACAGTTTCCTAATTGGGTTTAATTTGACTACTGCTCATTAGGGTTATAAACCAACTCACTCATTTAATTGTGATTAAATCCAGTAGTTGGACGTTTATGGTACAATGAACAAATAGCTAAAGATAATTTTGCTCTTCAAATAGCATGAGACTTACGTTTCAATGAACTCTACACACAAAATTTACGTTATGATGAGCCCTTCAAACAAGCTCAATAATGTTTCTTTCTCTTAATAATGGAAAAGAAACCTTCGGATGTCACACAGTTTTATAATGCCCCCTAGGAAAGGGTTCTCACAGCCCGTCCCTGCCAGAACCGAATGTGACAGACCTCTTCCCAAAGGCTTGAATTTCCATTTTTTAAAATATGAAATGACCAGGTTTCGTGTGCATACCAGTTTGAAAAGCAATATATGACATTTAAGAGCTTATATTGAACTTCCTTCTCTTTCATTTTGTGGACTTAATTATCAGCCACTCAGTACAGCATAAATTTTGACTGATAGTCCCAAATGGGACTACTTCGAGATCTGTCAGATGAAAGCAACTTAATAGTTTAAGAAGGAAAAAGAAAAAAAGGCAAGTCACTATAAGTCCGTATGGCATATCAAAATCCACAGACACACTGTACTGAGACATGGGTTCGAATCCCAGTACGTATTAATTACTCATGGGGAAGTCACATGACTTTTTCAACTCTCCATAAAATAGGAAAACATTTCTGACTTTGCAGGGTTGCTGCAAGTAATACAAAAATAATATAAGTAAAAGTTTATCATAGAGCTTGACATAAAATTTCAAGAGTTTTTTCTCCCTTCCGGTACTGTCTTTAGTCAGGGGTGGGGAACTTTTTTTTCCCAAAGGCCATTTGAATATTTGTAACATCAAATATTGGATATTTGTGGGCCATACAAAATAAGCCAGCCAGCTCTATTCTGTCAAACATTTAATTAACTCACCCCTCTGCCTTGGCAGGACCAGACCAAATGACTGTATGGTCCGTGGGCTGGACATTCGCCACCCCTGGACTATATGATGTACTAATGACTTCACAGTCAGATGAAATGTAAAAGTTATTTATGAATAAGGTAGTTTGTTTATAAATGACCTAGCACAGATTTTTATATGGTGGTCATTTGTGAAAACTATGAAATACATTATTTTCAATGACTTCCTATACATGAACTTTTTGCCTATCTTAATTTGAAATGTTAAAAAAAAAAAATAGAAAAAAGATGAAGATCTATCTCTGCCCTTGCTGAACTGCTGCTGTGCCTGAGAAGAGGAATGAATGTTATGAATGTTGGGAACTGGCATGATTTGTGTCTGACAGCGGCGGCTTACCTTTGGATTAGAAAAGACGGGGGAAAAACCACCACGAGTCTAGCCTAGATCTGCAGTCAGGACATGGCAGAACCCAGGTCCCTCTGCAAAGTAAGAGCCACTGAGCACCCTTCCCAAACACCATCGGCTCAGGGGCATGGACAGCACCTTGCAGGGCGGGAGGTGGGGGATGGCAAGGTTCTAGGCCTTCTGGGGAGCTCCTGCCCAGTGACCTCATGACCCCCTCTCTGGCCTAGGGCCCAGAGCAAACGCAAACAGGTCAGGTTTCTGACATTCGGCCATCCCCTTGACATGATTTAAGGGGTATAGGAAAAAGGGAGACGGAAAGGGGTATTCACTTTGTCTCCATTGACCTGCAGCAGACAGCTCTGAATTAAAGCATGAAAACACACACACACACACACACACACACACACACACACACACACACGTCCATCTTGGTCTACAACTTGGTTGTATTTGAACATAACAGATCACCTCATTTACCTTCCCAGTGGCAAAGACCAATTTACGGACTGTCCACGGCATTCTCAGCAGCACACATGACACTGGGGGTGAAAGGTACTAAAAAGACCAGGTTCATGGAAGTCACTTTCTGGTGTCACCATGCCATCCACCTACTCACTAACCATCCCTGACCCTAAGCACACACAGACATGAGCTCTGGCGAGGGACTCAGTAAGAACTTGTTGGACAAAGTGCAGGGGTGGGGGTGCGGAGATGTAACAGTTGCTTATACTCCACAAGTACCTGATGGATAAGAAAAACCATCCCCACAAAAACGCCTCCTTCTCCCACTGGAAGCAGAAGCTCAAAATCAAGTCAGGGAAAAGCTGGATGGTGGGGCACCGGGGTGGCACCATGATGGTGCAAACCCAGAGGGCACACAGGTGACTCTATGCAGACTGAGGTCAACTGCTAAGCTTCCAGCAAGTCCTAAAGTGGGTGCGTGTTTTACACCCAGAGCAGTGGCTCCTGTTTCCACCATTTCCTGGCCACCGTGACGGGCCTCAGAAACAAGGACTGCTGGCGGATGGCTGTTTCTAGATAAAACAAAGGGCAGCCTCCTCTGAGGCGTGGCACTTGGCTGCCCACAAACTTGAGGGCTGAAATGTGCAGCTGCATCATGGGAGCATTCGAAACGACAGCAGAAATCAAATCACCGGGAAACATTAATGCAAAGCTGCTGCGGCAGTCCTTTGTAGAATTAAATTTACCGACGGTGGGAATAATTACATTCATTTGTTTTCTCTTATTTATTTATTTTACCTTGTCCTTCCGGAGTCTCACCAAAGGGGTTCACTTCCACCTGTGTGGCATCAATCTTCAGGAAGAGGTTGTACAGCTTCTTAATTTCATCGGCGGCCTAAACGTGACCAAGTGAAAAGAAATTACTCGAAGCAGGAGAAGATGGCCTATTCTGCTGGACTAATGACACCTGAAACATGACACGCTCTGTCTTTATTTCCAGTTGGGTTTTCTGAAGGGGAAAACAGAAAAGCATAGTATTTTCATCTCTGCTGCTATTCATTAGAAGAAATTGCTCACGTTCCTCCAGACACCAGAAAAACCCATTATCAAGACAACAACATGTTTCCAGTCTGGCCTAAAACGCCGGTAATCTCTCTGAAATTACCACGCTCCTATTAGCCCGGCTATGCCACAGTGTGATCTGCGATTGTTAATACAAATAAGCTCCATTTAAGTGAAAGGTAAACATGACTTTGAGAGTTTATAAGAACTAGGTTTTCCTAATTATGCTGGAATTAGAGAGTTATTATATTCGTCAATTCAAACTTATAATCTGGAACAATTGCTGAGAGTCTAAGGCAAATTCCTGCAAGAAAGGAAGATGGAGCCTGAGCCATCGTGAGTGAGCAGCGCCATTCAGCTGCAAACAGCGCGCCCACGGGCAGGCCAGAGAGCAGAAGTCCCATTTCCCAGTGGTGGTGCCGACTTCAGGCTCCGCAACTCTGCTGAGTCCACCCCCTCATTCATGCTTCTCAACCAGGATGTCTGCACCGCTGAGTCTCAGCACCCTGGCACCAGTGCCCGGGCTCGGGGACCACAGGAATGGGCAAACTACCTGGAGAGCTCACGCCTGCACATGCACAGCCTGGGAACACCTCACAGCAAGGCTAGGACCACGCGAGTGGCAGTCACCAGTCCCTCTGGGCTCGGGCTCATTCCTGGCCGTGGTGTCCCCTTTGCTGCAGTTTTGCTGGTGGTCCCAGCCCTGCGTCATTTGTCCTCAGAAACACAGGTGGCTTTCCTCCTTCCCCCCTCTCTCCTCTGTACATCGGGGGATGGCTCTAGCAGGCTGAGTGTCCAAGGCTCTTGGGCTCAGCCCAGCAATGGGAGGCAGCAGTGGGAGCCAGGATGTGTGTGTGTGTGGGGGGGAGACACACAAAGCTGGGGTATCTCTTCCCCTCTCTCTGCCCTGGGCAGCATCTCCTGCTCTGACTTCAGGGCCCACCATACCGGCCCACAGCCACCTGACCTGTGGGTGCCATGCTGGATTCTATGCACATGCCAGCAGGCACATTCCTCCCTCATTGTTTTTACGGGGAAAAAAAAAAAAAATGGGGTCTATACCTTCTGTCTTTAATAGATTTTAAAGAGCCGTCATCAGCAACACAAACAGAGCAATCTTATTCTCTGAAATGGCTGCATAATACTCATTGTGTGGATGTATCATAACTCCTTTAACATGGCTCCTTACTAATGGTTCCTTGGCTTCCAATAGTTTGACATCCCTCCAAATGCCTCCTCACCTGTATTTGCATGTACATCATACGGGTGATTAAACACCTGTAGGGAAACTTGTTGAAATTGGAACAAAGAGGAATGTGGGCATTTTAATAATAAAAGACTACCGTAAATTGTTCTTGGTAAGAGCTGCCACTAATTCCCCTCCCTCAAACCAGCTCCTCGGAGTGTCCTAACCACAGCCACCAGCTCCCAGGAGCGCCCAGTGTGCCATGGGCAAAGCGTCTCCCACGCGCAGTTTTAACTGGAATGTCTCTTATTAAGGAGGGAATGTGGTATTATTCTATGAGCTTAGGAGACATTTGTATTTCCTTTTCTGTGAATTCTGCCCATTTTTTCTGTTGAAATTTTACTCTTTTTCTTATTACTTTACATGAAGGTGTTTTTACATGAAAGAAATTACCTCATTATCTCATATCAATTGCAAGTACTTTTCTCCTTTATCTTTTGTCCGTATTGCTGTCACTTCTGCCACATGGAAATTGATAGCGATGCCACTCTTCTCTTCTATAGCGTCCGGCTTTGTGTCAATGTACAATGGCTGGTCCCGCTTCGAGTGTTGAAACAATCCTCCATTATTTTTTCAAAGGCTCTTTAAAATTTCCTTTATTTAGTGTTTATTTTTTTAAAGTCCAAACTTTAGATTTTATTTGAGTGAGCTGGTAAGCAACACACTCTTGACTGTGTTTTGTGCCTTTACGGTTTTTCTAAGCCATCGGCGAGTCCTGGAGACGCTCGCTGCCTGTCAGGACCCCGCAGCAGGCCCTGCACTGGCACTGCCTCCGCCCGGCGGCACTCAGCAGGCACCGCGTAAGCAGTGGTTTACAATGAAGAGAAACAACATGAGAGGAAGGACTGCTGGTGCATAAACATATAAGATCTTATCTCAGCTGCTTTAAAGCCTTCCCTTTTTAAAAACACACACACCATAAAATTCATGGGCTCAGCCATTTGTGGATGTACAGTTCCGTATTTTCAAGGATATTTACATTTTTGTGCAACCAAGCTCCAGAACATTCCATCCAGCAAAACTGAAAGTCCGTACCTGATGCGTAGTAATTGCCCATTCTCCCCACTCCCTGCCTGAGAACCAACAATCACCTTCTGTCACCAGGACTTCACTATCCATATGCACACATAAAGAGAATTTATCAATTTGTCTTTTTGTGACTGGCTAATTTCTTTTGTGTTTGTTGTTTTTATTTTATCGTGTTGTGGGGAATTGTCTAATTAAATTATATAGGTTTCAGGTGCACACGTCTATAAAGCATCATCTAAACTAGGGGTGTCGAACTCAATCAGAGAAGGGGCCAAAATCTAAAATCCAGCCTAAATCGCGGCCCGAATGGTTTACTGAACAGTCATAAACTGTCATTGTGATAGAAACGCAGCGGAGTGCAGTGATGACAGCGCGGTGCGGGCCACATTGCAAGGCCTGGTGGGACGGGTTTGGCCCGCGGGCCTTGTGTTTGACACATGTGATCTAAACATTGTGCTGTGTTCACCACCCCACGTCAAGTCTCCTCCCATCACCACTTATCCCCGCTTTGCCCTCTTCTACCTCTCCCACCCCAATCCCTCTGGTGACCACATGCTGTTGTCTGTGTCTATGGGGTTTTTCTTTGCTTCATCCTTCATCTTTTCACCAGCCCCCAATGCCAGGCTGATGTTCTCAAGGCTCAGCACGTCATGATCTGCTTTTTCAAGGCTGACCCATCTTCCACTGCATACACGCACATCATACTTTATTTATCCACTCGTGTACCAAGGGGCACCTGGGTCGCTGCAAAGCTCCCTAAGCCTATCACCCGAGGTTGGAAGCAGCCTGGATTTTCTGCACTTAATGCCACTGCAATTATACATTTACAGAGCATTTATGGGGGCGGGGGTCCTCCACTCTGTAATTGTATATTCTTGTACAAATTGCATATTCTTGAAATAAAACATGTTTTGAGCAGGGAGGAAGCATGATGAAATTGTTGTACGATCGACAGGCAGCACCAGCCGGGCTTGGAGACACGCCTTATTCTGAGGCAATGCTAACTGACTACAAGGTTGGGCAGGTAGTCGGTGTGACCAGGTTAAAACAGGAAATGGCAGGACTGTGGCAAGTTGAGGTTAGCTCCCCTGCTTTGTGAATGTGCTCAGATTTAAAGAAACAAACACGAGTCAGAGAAACCATTCTGCCGAGGACTGTCCCATCAGCCAGGTTGGAAATGTGATAGTGGAATTTGGGTCATCACATATTATGCAGGGAAGGTGTTTTCTTTCCCTAGGCCACCAATTAATGTTATTTTAAGGTTGCTGGTTACAACCTGAAAGTTAAGGTTGCAACAAACAATTAGAAAGTTAAAATGCTTAAATTCAAATATCCTTGAGGACATATGCTTCATACCATGGCGATTTATACGTGTCTTCAAAACGTTTTGACAAGTTTTAAAAAAAAGTAACTACCTTTCTTGCCTTCCAGAAAGGAATATCACGCGCATTCACTCATGGTCCCTAAGGCTAGTGGAGCACAAACCACGCTGGGGGTCCGTGTGGGTTCTCACGTGGCCACTGGGTCATTTCCTCCGCTTCAATCCCAGAGGCAGGAGGTGACGCTTCATGGCGGCAGTGCTTCAGAAACTAGTAGAACAGATGATAACTAAGACACAGGTGAGGGACTTGTGGATTTGGGTCCTGTTCTGCTTTTCATGGCTTAGTCTTTTCAACCCATTCTTGCTGAAGTGGATTTCCACCAGAACACTTACGTGGGGGTTATGATGCAAGGTGATACTTATTTTTATTAGAACTTACATCAGCTTTTAGAGAAATCAGGCTTGAGTCACAGGACAGACATAACTAAATTTATAGATAATCATTTTATATGCTGTTCACCCATGAGTTGAGGTGCCTCCTCCAAACGCCTACACCACCTCCTAGATGAAACTTAAGAAACTTTCAGTCTTACTGAATCCGCAGGGTCTCTAAGATTACCATTTCTTTATCAAAGGACCAGAAACTGATCGTCATTTAAAGTGTTTTCCCTCCTCAGGTGCGGCCTCCACAGCCCACTGAGCCTGAGGGTGGTGGGACTCACCCTCTCTGTGCCCAGGCCCCGCGGGGGGGCAGCACCCGCTCAGTGCTCCCTCCACTTTTGCTGAGCAAGTGAGGATACAAAGTCTTTCTTGTAGTCAGCAATGAAATAAGAAATAATGTGAATTAAAAATGTAATTAAGAAAGATGACAATTAGCTACTAATGACCCCAGAGAACTTGCATGTTCATCTTCCTTTCACTGTAACTCACTTAAAACCTAAGTTGTTTGGGGCATTGGGAAAACAAGATTCAGACCTTTAACAGCCATAAATAACCTAATTTTCTCTTATAACGCCTTTAGGGAGGAATGCAGTGTCTTAAGAAGTACACAACACTATCATTGCCTTCTGTAGAACTCTGTTATGTTCTCCTCCTGAGCTTTGAAATTATGTGGCCAGCAGATTTGGCCCCTCCAGATCTGTCCTCTGCCCTCACAGCCACCTGCTGCTGGCCCCGAAGCATCTCTTCACAGAAGCATCCCAGACGTGCTACGTCACTGATCCACATATATGACAGCTGCTTCTTGGGCACTTCATACATGCTTCATACATCTGCAAAGCACATTTCTAGCCATACAGCAACGAGAAACCGGAAGTCTTGTGCACAGTTTAGGGCCCAGCAAAGGCGACTGTACATGGCTAACGGCACCACAGAGCAGCCAAGGGGAATGGGCACAGAACCAGGGCACTGAGCACACAGCACTTACTGAGGGCAGGCAGCTGGAACACAGTGGCTATAAGAGCGGAGCTCCAGTGAGCCTGCCACACAAGGAGTCACTCAATCAATAAATAATACAACTATGGCTTCATTCCCAAGAGAGAAAACCAACAGCTGTAGCCCTTACCCAAGAGCCAGCCAGCAGAGCCCTTTCACCACCTTGGCGTCTTGCCAGCCTCAAAATAACAACTAGCTCCTCTAACTGTTCTCTGAATCCTGACTACAACTTCTCCTGAGGTTTAGACACAGATGACCCTGTCCCCTTTGGCCGCCTAAATATTTGTTTTCCAATGCAACCTTTCTTCCCATCTTCAAATAAATGCTCTCCTCTCTTTAACTTCTTAAAAATTTCATTCAATTTACTTGGGTGACATTGGTTACTAAAACTATATAGATTTCAGATGTACAATTTTATAATACATGTCTGTATATTGTATTGTGTGTTCATCACCCAAAGTCAAGACTCCTTCCTTCACTTTTACCTCTCCTTTATCCTCCTCTACCATCTCCCATTCCTCTCTTCCCCTCACCCCCTTCCTCTATGGCAGTGTTTCCCAAACATTTGACATATGTGTACCCCTTCTATAATTTTCGTAACGCTGAGTACCCCTTGTACTCATGAGAACGTAGAATTAGGCGCAGCTAAGCACGGTACAGTGCATATCCCCACCAAACTCCGGTGCAACACATACCCCACCAAACTCTTCCTGTACCCCTGGGGGTACGCGTGCCACACTTTGGGAAACACTGCTCTATGGTAATCACCATAATGTTGTCTATAGTAATTGTATATCCTTGTACAAATTGCACATTCTTTAAATATAAACATGTTTTGAGCAGGGAGGAAGCATGATGAAATCGTGTGGCAAGAACGACAGGGAGCACCAGCTGGGCTTGGAGACATGCCTTATTCTGAGGCACGCCTTATTCCTAAAGCTCTGGGTGGTGAGGTTAGGGTGTCAAGGCAGAGTGGCAGGTGGGTGGGTGAGGCACACGTGGGTGAGCAGGGCCACGTGATTTTGCGCACCAGGTCACTAGCTAGAAATAATACTGGAATGTACATATTTTCCATTGAATCAATATCTCAGGTTTCTTCAGATATATTCCTATAAATCACTGGGTCTTATGGCAGTTCCATTTTTATTTTTTTTGGAAGACCATACTGTCTTCCACAGTGGCTGCACCAGTCTGCATTCCCACCAAGAGGGCATCCTCACCAATACATGTGTTGGGTTCCTCTTGTTTGTGACTCTCTGGGCCCCCTCAACTTGTAAATCTATTTCTTTCACCAGGTAGGGGAAGTTTCCTGTCATTATTTCTTCAAACAGGTTTTCAATAACTTGTTCTCTCTCTTCTTCTGGCACCTCCATAATGCGAATGTTGGTACCCTTGAAATTATCCCAGAGGCTCCTTACACTATCTTATTTTTATATTCTTTTTTCTTTTGGCTCTTCTGATTGGGTGTTTTTTGTTCCCTCATATTCCAAATCCTTGATTTGATACTTGGAATCTTCTACTCTACTGTTGAATCTCTGTAAATTATTCTTTATTTCAGTTAGTGTATGATTAATTTCTGCTGGTCCTTTTTCATATCTTTGAAATTCTCACTAAATCCCTTGAAGCTCTCATTAAGATATTTGAGCATCCTTATAAACACTGTTTTGAACTCTGTTATTTAGCAGTTTGCTTGCTTGCATTTCATTTAGTTCTTTTTTCTGGCGATTTCTTCTGTTCTTTCATTTGTGACATGTTTCTTTGTCTCTGCATTTTGGCTGCATCCCTGTGTGTTTCTATGTATTAGGTAGAGCTGCTATGTCTCCTGGAATTGAAAGAGTAACTTTATATAATAGGTGTCCTGTAAGGCCCAGTGGCCAGTCTCCCTAGTCATCTGAGCTGGGCATTCTAGGTGGACCCTGTGTGGGCTCTGTGTACAGTCTTGTAGTTGAGCCTTGATTGCTGTTGGCTTCACTGGGAGGAGTTGACCTCATGCTAACTGGCTGTTAGGACAAGCTGAAACTATAGTGGAGGAGCTGCTGTGCAGAAAACAAGCCTATGGAACAGGACTTGCTTCAATGGGGCTTTGGTGCTCACTGAGTCAGCCCCTTGAGTGTGTCACTTGTGCATGTGTAGAGTTGTAATCTGGTAGGGTCTGAAACTGTCCACCATTATACTAGCTCTGAGGTCTCTCAGGAGGTGCACGGTCAGTCATTGCCTGGGGCCATCTGATAGGAGCTACAGAGCAATCTGCAGGTGGCTGCTTTTTATGTTGGGCTTGGAAATATCCAGGTAAGGCCAAGCTGTGAAGCAAGGCAGGCTGCTGCTAGCCCCAGGTCTTGGACCTCTTATAGGTATGAAGCACAGTGATGCTCGCAATGTTTGTGAGATTTTAGAAAAGTCTGAAGCCTGAAGTAGGACAGGCCATTCACATGGAAAAGCAGCTGCAAACAGCTTGGGTGGGGCTGCAAATTGGATGGGGCAGTGTCTCAGGGAATCTACAGGGCAGAGGTAGCTATGAGTCATGCTGATGGAAACTCAGATATGGCTGTCAGTCAGCTCAGCGATGGAGGAGGTCTCAGCATAGGAACAATGACACCTATGAGCACCTTTGTCTGGGAGAATCAATCCCCCGAATTCTTGTTCAGATGCCAGACAATCCAGCTCCTCCCTATATGTCCCTGAATTCTCCTAAACCATTGCTCTAGTGCTGGAGCTCAGAGCATGTGAGGGTGTGTGCCAGCCCTTTAAAAGGAACTGCCTGGGGCTGCAGCAGCCTCTGTGTCATTCAGCCACAATCCCTGTTGGTTTCTGCAGTCCAAAGTTATAGAAACTTCTCTTTCCAGTTATGAAACCCTGGCCCGGGGGTCTGATATGGGCCTGCGACCCCTTGTTCCTCACAGGAAGCCTCCACAGCCAAGATATCACTCCAGATTAGAATAACACAACACGTGGGTGTCAGACCAGCCTGTTCCATGCCTCTGCCCCTTCTACCAGACTCAATGTGCTTTTCCTCTTTAATTCTCTAGTTGTACAATAGAACTCCCATTCAGGCAGATTTCAGGTGGTTGTGAACGATGTCTTGGAACATACACATACTTATAGAAGTTTTATTCTGCTTCACTCTCTATGATTTGCCGTATTGTCACTATTAAATATCCAGAAATAGAATCAGTCAAAAGAAAAAGTAAAGATAAGAAAAAAGTGCAATACCATGGTTTTTTTGTTTGTTTGTTTGTTTGTTTGTTTAAGGAATACTACCCAACTAAATGAAAGAAAATGTTCTGTAATTATCCTGGAGCCCTAGAGAGAAAACAGACATGCACATATACATAAACACACACACACACACACACACACACACACACACACACAGGATCTTAGTAATGAAGAAGTTAAAAATAGCCACTAAGTCCTCCTGACTTAGCTGTGGGACCAGGAAGCTGGTTATGAAGGCAAGCAGTTAGGCTGCCCAAGGGCAGTGCAGGGCTGTGATGCTCAAGACAGACTTTCCCTTCGCACCTCGGAGGCCAATTTGTCTGTCTCTGATGTTTAGAGATGTAATTACTAAATTGGCATGTTTTAAGTTGTTCTCAGTGAAATATCACCTTCATGCCATGCATACTCATCTCAAATGGCTAGTAGCTGTGAAAGCATACCGGTCAGCTATGTGTGCCAGTAGTAACAATAATAACTTACCTGTCGGGGCTGAATTAGCACTTGCACACATCAGAGTACCCAGTCCTTGCAATAACCCTCTCAGAATTTCATCATCCCACTTGATGCACTGACATTCAGATGGGCTGGATCACACACGTGCTCACATGTTGCATAGCAATGTAGGGTCCAAACTCAGATTTGTCTGAGAATACAGCCTGTCCTTCTAATCACTGTGCTGCCGATTATAATTCATGGCCTGGAACTGCGAGCTATAAAAAAGACCGAGACTAACATTCATAACAAAGTGTATATGTCTGCAGGCAACACACACACACACACACACACACACACACACACCCCATAAACAACCTCTTTTGGAACACCAGAGAAATATTTTCTTCATAAACAGCTGCATGGAAAAATATAGTAACCTATCTTGTTTCTGAGTAATTGAAGACAAATAAGCAAGTTCTCCAATGTTTTCTGAAACAAGTCAGACACAATGGCCTCCAATAGCTCAGGTACCTTGTTTTTCAAGTGCCCATGGAAGCCCAAATTTTCTGCCATCCGCTGAGCTTGACTGTCCTTTATCCCTTCCATAATGTCAATCTGCTCCTGGTGAAAGATGAATAAAATAAACAAAATTCAGACAGTCAAGTGAGAAGACAACCTCAAAAGACCGGAGCTTCCCTTTTATTTGCAAATGAGAGATGAAAGTGAGACACCTTCCCAGAGATCTCTGAGTGGGGCCCCTGCAGCTGCCTATGTGGCAGGTTTTAATTGGCAGACCATCTATAAAACAGCCTTTCCAGAAACTGTGCTTCTTCAGGGGGCATGCTGACAAGACAATCGGATGCCAGTTTCACTTTTAATTACTACACAGATGGCATTGACGAACATTTAGTCAGTTAATTTTTACGCCGTCATTTGGAAGGCTTCCAGAGTAAGGTTTCTCCAGCCTAAAGCTGCTGCTAAGGTCAGAGCTTGTCACACAGATAAAACATTAGCTTAACATGTAATGTATCAATGATGAAAATGATGAATGCTTCAGCTTTACACGTGCCATTCTCTCCTAGACACTAGGAACTGCTCACAAACGAACATTATTTCACATATGCTCTCAGTAAATGCAATGGCTTGTGCGGTTTTTAAAAATATGTTTATTGCTTTTTAGAGAGAGAGGAATAAAGATGGAGAGAGAAACATCCATGTGAGAGCGCAACATCGATCTGCCTCCTGCACGCCTCCTACCAGGGATCGAGCCTGCAACCCATGCAGGTGCCCTAGAGAGGGGTCAAACCAGTCGCCTTTCAGTGCATGGGATGATGCCCATCCAATGGAGCCACACCGGCCAGGGCAGGAATGGCTTGTTTTAAATCCCACCAACTAGGTACCCCACCCTTTTCAAAAGTCTGCTTTGCCCCTTCCCTTTTATCTGTTTTTTGTTAACCAAAAAATTCTAAAGAGGATTTCTGCTTTTCAAAAAAATGGCAAAATTAAAAATAGTGCTCAGTGCTTGTTTGCTGCAGTCCTGGGGGCAGCAATCCTGGGCAGCGAAAGGGCCCTGCCAACTCCTTCCCGGGACCATGCCCACATCCAGCCTCCATCACCGGAAATGGGTCTGTGCGCCCTGGGCTTCCTCCTAAGGTAAATTCTGCTTCACTTCCCAGCATTTCAGCTTACAAATGGTGTCACAGGCGAGCTCTACTTTGAAAAATGGGGGAAACCTACATGGAAGTCAGCCTGTAAAGTTTCCATTTAACGTCCCAGGCAGTTAACTTAATAGGTAACATTGGTAAAAATAGTCTAAAACAATCACCGAACTACAATATCAGTGCTTTATACAAAGAAGTTCAAGAAATAAATGTCCCACTTTTTGAAGGAAAACAAAATCACTTTCTAAATGAAATAATATTTATGCTAGAAATCTTAATGTGATTTTCCTAATACTAAGAACTTAGAGATCTTGGGGAACTTGCTGGCTAGTTGGGACTTTGCCTCAGACATTTTTATCTGGAAACTAATGGATGTGACAGGCACATCCTTTGGCTGCCTCCTGCACGCGCCCTGACCTGGGCCGGGGACTTAACCTGCGACCCAGGCACATGCTCTTGGCCTTCGGTGATCTAACAATGAGTGATACCAGCCAGGGCTATAAACTAATCTTGATATCAGTAAAAGGAAGAAGACTTAAAGGATTGAAAGAAACAAAGAATCTGGGCTTTTGAAGGATTCTGCTTGACATTGATGCTGTTGGAAGAAATCCAGGCAACCTCCAGCTTACATCTGGTCTCCTTGCAGCTTTTCTAATCATATACTGTTAAGTGGGCAAAGAGAACAAAAAGGAAGTGGAGACAGCACAGTCTGCTCCCACTGATTAATTCTTGGGACAGGTTGGATGGAAAGGAACAAGGGAGGAAGAAAAGGCAGGAAGGAGGGAAGAAGGGAGGGAGGGCGAGGAAAGCAAAGAAAAAGACCTTGCATAGTGACTCTCAACTGGATGGCTATTGAGAAAAAGCTCTTGACATCCTCAGGCCTTCAACCCCAGAGAGAGATGTATGACCAGCAGCCTCAGACTCCACATTAAATATTTAACAGCTTCTACAACAACCATTGATGAACACAGAATAGCCAGAAACCTGAGCATACCTTAAAAATAAGTTCTGGACTTGAAGCCGCCACCTCTTCGATGTCCATGCCCCCCTGGGGGCTGCCCACCAGCACGGGGCCGTTGCAGGACCGGTCCATCAGAATCGCAAAGTAGGTCTCCCTGGAAATGTTCAAGGCTTCAGCGACCATCACCTGCCAGGTTGGAGGAAGGAAAGGCAGATGAGTTTCCAAGTTTCCACTTGGAAATCTAACAGACTTGCCTCACATGTGAAACAGCTTCCTTTATAGGCCTCTGAACCCGGCGCCTTAGCTTCCAGGACACGCTGGCTCTGCTCTGGGCGTGTGACACGCTCATCCCTCCCCCTAACTGATCCTGTCAACGTGCTCAAGTGACAGGTCGTGGTTGGCCTCAAGGACCTTCCCACTTTAATCTTGTCTCCTTCCTCGAGAATCCTGCCACTTACGAAGACTCCAGGCGAGCAGCTACTATTGTCATTTGAGACTCGAACAGCACAGCTGTATGACCACTCTGCTTTTTCCCAAGTTGCTCTGGTGCAAAACCCAGTCTGGTTGGCAAAGAGTTCTTTTCCCAGTGTGCTCGATGCTTCCTAGGTTTGTGTACTCCGTCTCTTGGTTCACTGCATTTGTATTTCAATTTTTACTTTCTTTAAATGACAAATGTATTTCCTGTTCAAAATCAATGCTAATGACACCGGAAGGAACTACACGAGACAATGAAAGCAGCGGCACACATCCGCCCCAGCCCCAGCAGCCAGCCTGGCCACGAGACCACCTGGCACTGATACTCCGAAGAGCTGCCCATACATGACTGGGCAGCAGACAAGTGGGGCGTCCAGGGCTGTGGCAACCTTAACAGCGCCACACAGCAGCCACAGCCGGGAAACCACCGCTACCTTTGTGGCCTTTTATCTGGGCACCTGCAAGTGTTGCCGCTGTGGAATGACCCTGCACACGCAGACATACTATATGTGCTCCAATGCCTTTCTTTCTTCTTGCTTTTAATTTTCTACAACTCAGACATCTTTCCAAGGCCATTATGATTATGTACTTATATGTCAATATGTATTTAACCACAACCCTAGTGACAGACATTTACATGGGCTTCAATTTTTCTACAGTGCTCCATTGGTGAATATTTTTGTGTGTATATCCTTGCTCATTTGTTTGAGTGCCTTGCAGATAGTGTACCTAAAAGGAAAATGGCTAGGTATCAGATTCTTCGTATGGAAAATTTTGATAAGTACTCTCAAACTGCCCTGGAGAGAAAGGCTGTATCAACTTACAAAAAGAATAGTAAGAGACGTCTTGGAAGATTTTTAAAAGAAAATAGGAACTTTCATTCAAAATGAGTCTCAGGAGTGGAAATAATGAAAGTACTTGCATTGCTTTTCCTAAAAGTTCTTGAATAATAAGTTGCACAAAGGAAGTTACAGGTTAAGTAGCATTCGTTTCTAGCTACCCAGATGCCAGAAACACACTAAGTTCCATGTTACCTGACATGCGGCAAATACAGGGTGGGGCAAAAGTAGGAGTACAGCAGTTTGTATGGAAAATAATACAACAATTAATAAATAATCAGGATTTTAAAACTGTTCCCCGTACTTACAACTGTAAACCTACTCTTGCCCCATCCCGTTTATGGTGATCTAAAAAGCTGCAATGTAATGGATATAGAATTATTTTTCAAATTTTTATTTAATTTGTGTCCAGTTAAAAATAAAGTACCTTAGCAGAGGCTTCATCCCAATTCTCTTGTGACAAATGGTAGCTTATGAGTACACAAGCGTCCCAGTGCACGAATTCATGCACGGATGGGATACCTTGGCCTGGGTAGCAAACAGGGCCAGTGGGTTGAGGTGAGGGACCACCAGAGGTTGGCCAGCCGTGAGAGCACAATGACCACCAGGGGGCAGCTCCAGTGTTGAGTGTCTGCTCCCTAGTGATCAATGTGTGACATAGCAAATGGTCATTCAGTCGATTGGTCATATAGTTGCTTAGGCCTGTGTGTGTATGTGTGTGTGTGTGTGTGTGTGTGTGTGTATATATATATATATATATATATATATATACACACACATATATATATATATGTATATATATATATATATATATATATGTATGTATATATATATATATATATATATATATATATATATATATATACTAGAGGCCCGGTACACAAAACTCCTGCATGGGGGGATGTGTCCCTCAGCCCAGCCTGCACCCTCTCAAATCTAGGACCCCTTGAGGGATGTCTGACTGCCCATTTAGGCCCAATCCCAGTAGGGGATCCCTCTCACAATACAGAACTGCTGGCTCCCAACTGTTCGCCTGCCTGCCATCCTGATTGCTCCTAACTGCTTCTGCCTATCAGCCTGATCACCCCCTAACCACTCCCCTGCCAGCCTGATTGATGTCCAACTGCTCCCCTGCCAGCCTACTTGCCCCTAACTGTCCTCCCCTGCAGGCCTGGTCACTCCTAACTACTGTCCCCTGCAAGCCTGGTCACCCCTAACTTCCCTCACCTGCAGGCTTGGGTCCCCCCAACTGTCCTTCCCTGCAGGCCCTGTTGCCCTCAACTTCTCTCCTCTGCTAGCCTGGTCACCCCTAACAGCCCTCCCTTTCAGGTTTGATAACCCCCAATTGGTCTCCCTTGTAGACCTAGTCCCTCCAAACTGACCTCCCCTGCTGGCCATCTGTGGAGGCCATCTTGTGTCCACATGGGGGCAGTCAACTTGTGTGTTGGGGTGATGGTTAATTTGAATATTTCTCTTTTATTAGATAGGACAGAGGCCTGGTGCACAGTTGGGGACCAGCTGGTTTGCCCTGAAGGGTGTCCAAGATCAGGGTGGGGGTTGCCTTGGGGTGTGGGGTGGCCTGGGCGAGGGGCCTGTGGGGGTTTGCAGCCAGCCACACCCACTGATGACCCAAGTGGAGGCCCTGGTAGTTGGGATTTATTTATCTTCTATAATTGAAATTTTATAGCCTTGAGCAAAGGCAAGCTTCCTGCTTGCTCGGTGGCAGCAGCCATTTCTGTTGGGATTTATTTATATTCTATAATGGAAACTTTGTAGCTGTGAGCAGAGGAAGAAGCTTGGCTTCCTCCATCACTGGGGCAACTCAAGCCTCCTGCTCTCTCCAGCTCCGTGGCTGCCACCATTTTCATTGGGATTTATTTATCCTTTATAATCGAAACTTTGTAGCCTTGAGTGGAGGCCTAGACCAGCCAGGGTTGCTAAAAGCTTGGTTTCCTCATTACCAAGGAAACCCAAGCCTCCTGCTCACTGTGTGGCTGCAGCTATCTTGGTGTTAATTTGCATTTGCATACTCACTCCTGATTGGCTGCTGGTGTGGGTTGTGGGCGTGGCAGAGTGATGGTTAATTTGCTTATTATTCTTTTATTAGAGTGTGTGTGTGTGTGTGTGTGTGTATATATATATATATATATATATATATAATGCTTCTTGGCATATGGTACTGGGATTACCTGGGACTATTTAATTAAAAGTTCACTTCCTAACACAGAGCTTGTCTATGAACAAATTTAGTGACTTTCAGGAGCTATTCTTAGAAGCAACACAACTTTACAACTTTAGGGTACCTGTCCTTCAGGAGTTCTATACTTATTCCTGTAAAGTGTGGGCAGGTGTGCTCCTGATTCCATCAGATCTGTGTGTGAAGACCCCTGCTGGCTCACACACACTTGCTTGGTCTTTAGGAACTTCCCCAGGAAAGTGACGATGATTATCAACAGATAAATCAATAAATTTTATATAAAGGCCAATTCTGTACATTACTATGCCATCTTATGACCAGGATGTTAGAATATTTTAGGAACTGTAACAGAGAGATGGAAATGGAGCTTTAACAACTCATTCCAATAGCAGCTCAGTTACTAATGGATACATTTCAGAAAAGCTCTGTGTCTGACACCTGCACACCACCAGTGCAGCCTTTCTGTGCTGTCTCTGGTACAGAAAGCTTTGAAACGTGCTTGACCCTAACTGGATGCTGAGCTGGTTTCGGTTTGCTGCTCGGACTGTGGCCAGAGGACTGCCAGTGCACAGGCTCCCGGCAACACACCGGGGTCGGGTAAGACGAGCGTGTGCTCCGTGCTGGCGCTCCCCTCCTGGCCCTGCGGCCCAGAGCACACACAGCTTCTCAGCTCCCGGCACTAGCTACCTCACAGAACAGCCTCTAACCCAGAGGCACAGCTTCAGAGAAACACCCTATGGATACAGAGGTATGAATGTGTGGAAATAACTTCTCAAAGAAACTGAGAAACCTAAAATAATCTGAGATTCTGACTGATGTCCACGGTTCCGTAAGTAAAAAGAAAATGCATGTTCCTTAGAGCATATGAAATGTTATTGTTACAGAAAAGAGGTAAGACACTTTACAGAGGAGAAAGACTGAAATAATGTATGACAATTATTTCTGGGTGGTGACAATACAAGGAATCTTTACTTCTAATTTTTATTATTTCTGTACTACTGGAATTTTTACATACGTTAGTCACTTTTGCAATCAGGGGAAACAAAAAAAACTACTAAAAAAAATAGATCACTCTAGTAGTTTCCTGGTAATGATTCAAATTACAAGAGTGAACTTACCACCGGTATTTTAGGAACCTTACTAAAAACTAATTTTAAGCTCATCCATACAGTGTGACTGTTCTTTATGTGTTTTTATATGCTTTTTAAAAGAACCACAAACTCTAATGTAAAAATCCTCCTAGCCATAAAGAACTACAAATTTTTTAAACCAAAATACTAATCGTGCCCTCTGTGGACAAATGTTGAAGAAGGTGCATGTTTGTAACGGCTCCCAGGCAGCTTTAGAAGGAATAAACGTAGTGTGCCAGGCTGAACGAAACCAGCAAAAACAACGCGCTTGCATGTGAACCAGTTCTGGCAGCTACGGGAGAGGCGGTGGAAGGGGAGAAGGGCAGACCCGCTCTGTGAGCGCATCTGAGCATCAGCAAGGCCATGTCCGAGGGAGAGTCAGGATCTCAGCACCCAGCCTCCCTCCAGCTCCAAGGCCCCTTGGGAGGAGACTCTCTCGTGGCACAAGAACCACAAGCTGGTGATTTTCTTGTTGATCATGTCAAAAACTTTCCACTCAACTCTCTCTGAAAAGTAAAACCAGCATGCGCCGCCTCAGTTTCCCCAAGCACACACATGGGCGGTGGGAACTGTCACCTGGGAGACAGTTCCTCTCAGCAGGCGGGGCCCTGACCCAGCACTAGGAGGGCCCCTCGCTCTGCACTCCGGGCGGGAGCGTGGCCTGTGGCTCACACAGGGTTGGCGACTTTCACTACATGCTGAGGCTAATGAAGAACATGCTGTTACACACACTTTTTCTTTCTCCTCAAAGTCATACTACATACTAAACAGATTACATGAGGTTTAAAAATAATATGGCGCATTGCCAAAGTGCATTAATTAGATTCTGCCAAAACTGAAATGCGGCTTTCTTTTTTTAACACACACACACTGAAAATGACCAGAAGCATTCCTATTACCTTATTAACTTTCACACCTTCTTTTGGAGTTTGTTTCGTTGTCAGGTTATACCCGATCATCTGTTTAGCCAACTGTCTCACAACTTTAGGGCTAAGAGAAAGAGAGAAAGAAAAGAAAATCAATGTCTCTGTTGAAAGTAATTTTAAAGCAGAGTCCATGTTAAATTCTCATCTCCACATGTGCAGGGCACACCTCCATGCCCGGGTCCATGGGGCTTTCTGTTCAAAAATACAAATCAAAGGGAGGGAGGGAATGAGGGAGGGAGGAAATGAGGGAGGGAGGGAGGGAGGGAGGGAGGGAGGGAGGGAATAAGGAAGGGGGGGAGGGAATGAGGGAGGGAGGGAGGGAGGGAATAAGGAAGGGGGGAGGGAATGAGGGAGGGAGGGAGGGAATGAGGGAGGGAGGGAGGGAGGGAATAAGGAAGGGGGGAGGGAATAAGGGAGGGAGGGAGGGAATGAGGGAGGGAGGGAGGGAGGGAATGAGGGAGGGAGAGAGGGAATGAGGGAGGGAGGGAGGGAGGGAGAAAGATACCCCCTATTACATCCCCCCCCCCCCCAATAAATGATAGTCATAGTAAAGAGACAAGGCTGAAACACACTGGTTAGATGAGAGTTGAATAACAGAGACTTGAGGGCGGGTAATTTGGAAGGTACTGGCCAGCGGGGGGTCAGGTGAGGGTAAGAAGCATGTGAACATGAAAGTTTGGGAACCCAGAGGCTGTGTTCAGAGCTGGGGGCCAGTGGAGGGAGCCTGGGCTGCCCAGACAGGAGGCAGGAAACCTGGTGGTGGCAGCCGCTGCGGGTCTGCAACAGGAGCGCTGTCCAGCCAGCAGAGCTTGATGTGTGAGTGGCGGCACTGCCAGCTTTGGAATGAAACGTGGCAGTCCAGGGGAGAAGCAGCGTATAAAAATACACAAAGAAGAGTCACACTGTATAGATGAGGTTAAAATTGGTTTGCAGAAACGTTCCTAAAGGGTCACCAAGTGAAGAAAACCCTTTTGTGGAGCAGAAGGAAAGGGGCGTTGCCAGCGTCTTCCTGACTCTGTCCCCTCTCTGAGCCAGCTCCAGCTCCACCTTGCACCCCGCCTTCCCACTGGTGCTCCTGTCCATCAGCAGCAAGACCTTCCACACCTGTGGGCCCAGACGGGGATGAAAATGCCCAGACTTACTCTTTGGTTAAATGAACGCCGCCTTTCAAACCGCTGCTGAAGACACCTTTTCCTCTTCCTCCAGCTAAGATCTGGGCTTTTAAGACTACTTCTTTTGCATCTGAAAAAGAAAAAGAAAATTCAGAGTGAGTAGTTGATTTTAAATGATTTTTTAAGCAACAAGGAACATGGTAATGACATGTAACTTCCAACACTGGTAAAAGCTCTCCCCAACCAACTTTGAAAATGAAGGCAATAAGGAACTTGAAAAAACATCAGTGTGCCACTCCCACGTCTGTTTATCGAGGACACTTACGTTTCTTCACCAATTTAATCTGATACTGGACCATCCCCAAGGGAAAGCAAGGTATGTGAGTGTCAAGGCGCTGAGCAAGCCCAGGCTGAGGTTTTAAAAAAATAAATATTTTATTGATTTTTCACAGAGAGGAAGGGAGAGGGACAGAGAGCCAGAAACATCGACCAGCTAGCTGCCTCCTGCACACCCCTCACTGGGGATGTACCTGCAACCAAGGTGCATGCCCTTGCCCTGAATTGAACCTGGGACCCCTCAGTCCACAGGGCAATGCTCTACCCACTGAGCCAAACAGGTTTTGGCCCAGGCTGAGGTTTTAATTCCTGTGTGATGACACTCTCCCGGCGTAGAGGCACCAGCGGCCAGCCAGAGAAGCTGACGACCTGTCAGTCACCTGGGATGTCAAAGGAAAGACAGGGTTACAAAAGGGAAGGTTCAGGGACAAAATGCAAAGGAAGGACGTGATAACTGTATTCTTGGAAACGAACAGTTTTCTGAGCAGTTGCTCTGTATATTGACAGGGCTGGGTGGGAGGAGAGGAAATAGATTCAAACTAAAAGCAAGCAATGATTTAAAGTGTTGGCAGGGTCACAAAGCATCCCGGGGAGAAGTGGTTGTGGAATCTTCGTTCTGCACTCAACAGGAGAGTGAGCTGCCTGTTCCTGACACTTAGGCCAGAGTCATTAGCCCGGGGGTCTTTATGGGCCAGGCAGGAAAGCCGGGGGGGAGTGAAGCAGCCAGGCCTTAGCAGACAGCAACTCTCCCCTCCCCAACCGTCAAGAAAAGAAAAGGCCGTCCCCCAATGAAATATGTTCATCAGCCAAACAGTACCCACCCCGGGCCACAGCTGGCAATCTGTGGGACTCATACTCATCTAGTCAGAGAACATAAGTCTGACAAGCCTCTCTAAGGTTTAGAATCTGCAGACAAGGGTTTCAATCTGGCCATCATCCCTTACTCAGCTGTGTGATGTTGGCCAAGTTACTTAACATCTCTGAGACTTTACTTGAATGTGAAATGATGATGAAGATTGTTTTAAAAATTAAATGACACAACTTGTGTGATTATTTTACCCCAAGAGCCTAAAAACTCATATGCTTAATGGAAAACTATTGCCACAGTCAATTAGTCCATTTATTGCCTCTGTATATGTAAAGGCTCAAAAGGGTTATTATTTCCCCTTGGGCGAAGAAGGTAAAACAGAAATTGTTGGTACATGGCACGATTCATGTAAAGCTGCAGAAGTGTTGGCTCTCTCAGCCAGGACTTCCGCTGCCGTTACTCACAGGCAAGCACGCAAAGGCCCAACACAGGGAGCGCCGAATTTTCACCATGAAGGCAGCAGGAGCTCCGGGGGAGGCCATAGACGTTGGGGAGGACAGTCACTTCACCTGATGCGGTGAGCTTATTCAAGTTCATTGCCTCTGCTGGCTGGTCATCCTTGCTTACACTGGGAAAACCAGGGCTCACCTTCTCTCAGCAGCAACAAAGCTCTTTCTTTGCTGCAGTCTATATCTACTGACAACAGATCCTGCCTTGGAAATGAGCCATCAGAGCATCAGCCAACCATGTTTTAGAATAAACTGGTTCCTATCGAAGAGTGGAAGACAAGCTACAATTGATGCTTATTACCAGAAATGCACCAGGAAAGGAAACCAGTAAAAGGAATGTATTGGCATATTTGTGCTAATTAGTTAAAGAACAGCAGTGTAAGCAAGGGCTCTGGAATTAAACACCCCCGCAGGACAACGTCCAGCTCTGCCTGTAACTTCCTTCGTGGAGAAGGAGACTGAGGCTCAGAGGGGTAAAGCAGCATACCCATCTGTAAAATGGTCATAATACAATATGTTAGGATGATGTAAAAAAGTAAACAAAATACACTAGGTACAGTGCTTATGTCAACACCTGGCACATTTAAAAAATAGCCAAAATATGATATGTATTATCATTATAATTATTTTCAGCAATTAACCAAAAGAGTGGTATATAGGAAGGTATTTCTTTTGATGTCATCAAATGGCAAACGCTTTCTGCTGTCTCAACATTTTAATTGTGATCTCTTCATGTTCATTTAAAAGGATGAGTATTGCGTTGCCTTGTCATCCGGAAAAAGATGCTTGCCTCTCAAGCTTTCTAGCAGCTAAACTTGAAAGCCAGACGGAATGTCTGATTGGGCATTGTTAACTGGCCCCACAGGGGCGTGATTGAGGCGTGATTAGATCAGCTTCAGGCACTCAGCACCAAGACAAATAAAACACTGCAGTCTCAATCAAGTGTCGCCATTACATGTTAGCATGTGACCACAGGTCAAAGGACTCCATGTCACCCTTTTGGGAATCTAAGCAACCCCTTCAAACACGTGAAGCCATACACTCAGTCAGCAAACAGAAAAAGGCAGAGGAAACTACCCAGTTCATCTTCTGCAGCGTACACTGCAGGCCCAAAGCAATCACTTCAATCATCTCCTCTGGGCAGGCCTCGAAGGCAAACAGTCCTGCAGGTCAGCAGCCCAAAGCAAAGCAAGTGCTGGAAGAACACACAGGCAGAACTTTAACTCAGGCGGTATCTCCTCACGGGGCTGGAAGTGCAGGGCAGTGGCCAGGTCCTACTGAACAGGAACCAGTCTTCTCATTCAGTCCTTACCAGGTTGATTTGCACTTAATGGCGTTAATGCCTATTTTATTTCATGATCTGAATTATTGCAAAACTCATACAAATGTCTAGGTGTTTTTCAATGTTACCTCCCTGGGCCCAAAGAGAATGACAAAAGAATACCCCATAGGTGAAATTCCAGTTTTGTCTGAATGCATAAACTTTTTTGCACTGATGGCTTCACAGGCTTTAAGATAACAAGTTAAAAAAAGTCCCGGGTTTTGCCTGAATGCATAATATGTTTATGCACTGATGGCTTCACGTGCTTTAAGAGAACAAGATAAAAAGAGCCCGGGAATCAGGCCTCCTCTCCACTGGGCTCAGTGTGGAGAGGGCGGCACCTGTCTGTGCACTAGGAACACGCCCATCCCCCGGGCCTGGCCGCCTCGGATCCACACGTCTCACCATGCTCTCAGAGAAGCCGAACCCGTGCATGTGCCCTTCACTGCGACCTCCCTACGCCGTCCCGACACACGGCTGTGTTCGTGTCTGGCCTCCACCAGGTGTGACCGGGCCCCGATTACTATCACTAACTGTGTGTTTTAGGAGAAAAGGCACGTTAAAATATATTTGATATATTTGATAAACTTATATAGATATCGAAAGCCCTCGAATACTGTCAGCTAAGAGAACAGTATTTACAGCCATTTATCTAGAAACGGAAACACCCCATACATGGTCTCGCTTAGCTCTATTAGTGCATTGGAACAATGCTTTCTCAAACATTTTCCTCTCATTTTTACCATAACACCTGTCATTATTGTATTTTAATTACAAAAATACAGCTTTATAGCAATTTTTATAGTCTGCACGTCCCATGCTGGCTAATAAACATTCTTGGAAGCATTATTAAACCTAAAAAAGGAAAAAACATTAAATTCATTAAGGAAAGCACAAGCTAAAAAGAGTAAATAAGAAATGCCTTTAATTTGGCATGCTTGGCACAGCTGGTTCACTTTGCCTTTTAGAGATGACAAAATATTGTTCACAAGGCATAGTTTGGGGCCATAGAACAAAAGGTTTGGTGAAGGATCGAATACCTGTATTACCGAACTGGATCTCTTCAGCACTGCTCTCTTCAAAAATACAATTCTTTCCTAAATGCAAAATGCAGCGTTATCTACACTGACATAGCAACATATGACCATCGATTTTGAGTCAATAACACTGGAACTGCTGGGGAAACTGGTTTCTACGGTTCACTGACGGCAGTAAAATTGGAATATCCAGTTTTCAGCAAAATTGCATGGTGTAATTTCTAGAATGGCGCTCATAAGGTTTGATAGCATTCTTAATCGAGAAAGTTAAAATGTATGTCAGATTTGCCTATTCCTGTAAGGCAAGGAGAAGGGGAGTGTGAATCAAGAGTCAGAAGCTACCACAGAAAGATGAACATGGAAAAGAAGACCCATCCATCAGATGCTAGCAGAGGCCTAAGAGCCAGTTTCCCAAGGAAAATAAGCTACTTCTGTGCTCTCATTAGGACCCAGGATCCCCTTACAATTCTTTGTCGTTACTGTGGACCCCCTGTAGACCGACTCTCGGTCCCGGAGCTGTGACCTGTCACTGGGACTGAGATAATGAGATGATACTGCAGTGACTCCAAATGCCCAGTGGCACCTCTGAGACTAAAACCATAATTTCCACTTTCAACATGTCTGACATGGGCTCCCTGGGTCAGAGTGTCAAACACACAGAACAGGAGGATCCACTGCTCCCTCCTCGGCCACGTGCCGGTTGAATTGGGATGAGAGACCCCGGGCCCCACCTGACTGCCGCCCATCACGGCATGAATTGCTCATGCGGAACACAGTGGTTTTGTGACAAACAGGAAGCTGTCCAGGGAGACGCTGTTTCACATTAAGGGATCCTTTATGGATGAGGCTTTTCACTGGAGTTTTAAATCTTAAATTTCTTATTAAACATGGCAGCCAACTGATTCCATAGGAAAATGGCACTGTGAGCAGTTTATTAATTATAACAAAGATAATATTATCTTAACACAAAATATGCTTTTGTTTTCAAGGTAATTTTTAAAATTTTTAGTTCCTATAAGAAATTCCTAAATTAACCTACTTTTCTGACTCTCTCTCTGGTGTCATTAATTAGATTTGTAATCATTAATACTCCATTGGTAATGAAATTTTTAAGGCTAG